TCTACAGAAGTGGAAGTGATACCGAACCACCCCAACAAACTGAGGCATATAAGTAACAAGCGGGACAGAACACCGACGCTTCACCGGAGGCGCATTGACGATGTTACCTAGCAGGGTGATGAAACATTTGCAACCAAACCCACTGGCTCAGTAAGCAAGTCTACAGCTTCACTATAACCTGGTGTCGCGTGACTTCTTGACTTTGTCTCACCCCAGTCCAATACTGGCACCTCCATGTCATAGTTTACCAGTGGCCTTTGGCAGAAGAAATCTGCCGTCCTTGCCTGGTTTGGCCTCCGTGTGACTCCAGACCCTGTAGCAACGCGGTTGACTCTTAAGCTGGCCTCTCAGGATCGCTGTGAGATTCTGGCTTTGCATCAGTCTAAAAAGCGAATTAGTAAAATTATCAGGTTCTTGGCAGACACCGTACTATGAGAAAGTCAATTTCCAAGACTGGATTGCCATCCAGCCAAAAGGCGGAAGTGTGGAGAGAGGGAGAATGAACTGGGGCCTAACAGAGGGAAATAAGGAGGGAAAGCAGATTGTGAAAAAGAATCAAACCATTTAACCCTTCTAGTAATTAACAGCTTCATTTAATCCAATTCTTTCTCCCTCGATTCCGAATGAGAAAGCAAATTTGTTTTTAAATTTGTAAATTGTATTTAAATTCATGCAATGAAGTCCCTCATGCTCAAAAATATTCAGGCCGGCTTTGGAATGATTTGTGCCGTTATTTTCTGACATGCTCTTGCACTATATCTGTCTAAAACACAGATTCTGTTATGATTAAAGAAGGATGTGATCTGTAGGGAGGGTGCAATTGTAATTAAAATGTTTTGTTTGGAACACATAGACTAACTGAATGCTGTGAGCCAGCCGACCTTAATTCTGCCCATATGTAGCAATACCCACATGACTGAATCTGCCATTTGTTGATAGCTTGAGACACAAGTTTGGTGGTTCAGCTACATGTGGTCTCTCATGCGTCATATAGAAGGTTTGCTCAATTTTGTCTCTGTACGTTTTTGAACTGTCTTAGCTGCATTTGGCACATAGAGATCTAAAACGTGCAGTGTATGGGGGCATATAGTAAAGGAGCCTACAAATGCGTCTGTGGGTCAGTTCTGCTGTACAGTTTGTGCAACATCTCCATCAAAGTAAATCATGCAGTTTAATTCAGAGCTGTTGAACTGCCTGTGACCTTTTCCATCTACATTTTTAATCTTTCCACTGCTAGCAGGGAGCTAGCTGCCTCTCCAGCTTACGTTAGGATTTAACTGCCCAGTGAGCAGATTTTGTTACAAGTACAAAAGTGCACGTGCCCATTGTGTTGTGTTTCGCTTGCCCAGGCGGCAATGAATGGCTTAATTGGGGTTTGCGATTCTCAAAACAGAAACTGCTCTGGCACTTGCTGAACTGTCACCTTGGAGGTCTGTATCCTTATGTAGACTTCGAACGGGTTACTTAGCCGTGCGGTTCCCATCGATGTTGGAGTTCGTCCCAACACCGTACCTTTTTTATTTTCCTAGCCGTGCTTTCACAACCCTCCCTGACTTCACCCCTGCAACCGCCTCCAGCCTCAGTAACTCTCCGAGAGATCACATTCCGGTTTTTGCTGCCAGTTGGGTCACAAGCTTTGTTTTCACGTCACTCTGTGACCTTTGTTTCCATTCCACCTTCCCTCTTCCCCCCTCAGCCCAGCACCGAAATCTCCTCCAACCCTGAGATCTCAGCTCTGGCCACTGATCACCCCCAATATCCCCAACGTTTCGGAACACAACTCATTACAATGGGTCATCTAAATTTATGGGTTCAAAGAAATTCAGTGCTAGCATCTTTTTTTTCCTTTATTCATTCATGGGACGAGGGCGTCGCTGGCTAGGGCAGCATTTATTGCCCATCCTTAATTGCCCAGAGGGCCGTTACGAGTCAATCGCATTATTGTGGGTCTGGAGTCACATGTAGGCCAGATCAGGTAAGGATGGCAGTTTCCTTCCCTAAACGGCATTAGTGAACAAGATGGGTTTTTCCCCAACAATTGGCAATGGATTCACGGTCATCATTAGACTCTTCATTCCAGATATTTATTGAATTCAAATTCTACCATCTGCCATGGCGGGATTTGAACCCGGGTCTCCGGAATGTTACCTGGGTCTCTGTATTCACAGTCCAGCGATAATACCACTAGGCCATTGCCTCCCCATTCTCCTGTTTCTTGATGCCCAAATTAATCTAACTTTCCAAGAAGATCAGAGTAAGACTTATTTAATATTTGAACCTGTTCCTTCGTGACACTGTGGGGCTAATAATGTATCTACACATTAATTCAATCTTGGCATCTGGGTGCCACTGGCAGGGCCAGTGCTTATTATCCAAGCCTCATTGAGAAGGTGATGGCCAGCCTCCTCCTTGAACCACCGCAGTCCATATGCTACAGGCTCTCCCAGAGCGCTGTGAGGGAGGGAGTTCCAGGATTTTGACCCCTGTGATATATTTCCCAGTCAAGATGGCGACTGACTTGGAGGGGAACTTGCAGGGGCTATTGTTCCCAAATATCTGCTGCTTTTGTCCTTTCAGATGGTAGAGGTCATAGGTTTGGGAGGTGCTTTAGAAGGAGCTGTGACAATTTTCTATTCGTTTGTATTAGACTCAGCTCAAGGGTCTGATCAATTTTAATGTCATATAATTTACTGTGATCATTTGAAATTTGGAATCTTGCATTTGTCCTGATGAGTTCAAGATGGAGTAGCTTCAGCAACTCTGCTCTCTTTTTCAACAATATTTAAGTTTATTTTATCCAGTGTTTTAGCTCCATTATTCTGAGACAAGTTGCTCTAATTGACAATTGAAAATAGTAATAGTGAACTTATTAAACGGGTGTAAATTGATTCTGGAACCATGATTTAATTAGGCACTGATTCAGTGCTGAAGATTCTGGTGGGTATTTTTTATTGTGGAGCACTTTGGATTGAAACTAAATTGGAATGGATCCAATGTTTAATGTGCAGTACAACCAGGGTTTTATTTTTCTCCTGTAGTTTGTTCTCATGGCTCTGTTACACGACTTACCGTGAAAAATGGTCTGTTCAGCCGTGTTTGAAACCGGTGAGACTGCACTGGATCAGCTGTCTCGATCACTCCAACACACACAAACACAGAAGGTTTTCTGAAAATCATGAATTCTCCAGTTGCTCCTAAACCTTGGGCAAGGTAAATAGGGAAGAAGTAAGACAAGAGGAGAATTTTGATATATGCTTTTCGGGAAAAAAAGGTAGTGTGGGGTTATGATTTTCCTTGGCTTAATGAGGCTTGATAATGGGAACTCACTTTGGCTTCTTCAGATAGTTGTTCAAAGGATCTAGGAAAACCTCCATAAGCACAAGATTGAGAGTAAGAGTGTTAGAAGAAGAGAGATGAGGTGAAACCGCTCCATGAGGTGCCATTTGGATCTAAGCCAGCCAGTGAAACGGATGAGCAAGATCTTTCTTTGAGTTTATTAACTACTCAGTCTTACAGCTCCTTCCACTCATAGCATACAAGTCCCTATACATTTTCTCCTTTTATATTTGAAAGTGCTATCACACACAATTGAATGGTTTTTCCACCATCAATCCCTGCAGATTTTCTTTAAGCTACTAAACACAACCAGTACCTTAATGTTACTTAATAATGATGGGATGAACCAGTTTTCAGCAACAAGGAGGGTTCTGAGGTTTAGTTTTGAGAGCAGGAGATCTCAACATTTATCTAAACTCGAGAGGTCCATGAAGTAACCAGAAAGAAAGAGACAAGACTTGCATTTATCTAACATCTTTCGCAATGTCTCAAAAAGCGAATTCTGGCAGTGAATACGCGGCTCTGGAAGAGCAACATAACCGAAACAAATTAGAAATGTTACTTGAGGAAATTGTTATTTAAACCAATTTGCATTGTCAACTATTATTGGCCCTTTACTTGGGTCTGGTGCTTAATATAGCAATGTTCTGGCTACTTCAGAAACTGTCCAATCTGATAAAGCGAGTGAAAGAATTGCTTGTGGGAGAGTTGAGCTGCCGAGAAACATGACTTTGTCTGGACTTCACAAGTCTGTAGGGTAATGACCTGTACAATTGAAATGCTCCCAGAGAGGAAATCAGCAGATTTACAAGGATGTTGCTGGGACTGGAGGCTTTGAGCTACAGGGAGAGGCTGAATAGGTGACAGTTTTTTCCCCCTGGAGCATTGGAGGCCGAGGGGTGACCTTATAGAGGTTTATAAAATCATGAGCGGCATGGATAGGGTGATTGGCCAAGGTGTTTTCCCCAGGGTAGGGGAGTCCAAAGCAAGACGGCATAGGTTTAAGGTGAGGGGAGGAAAAGATTTCAAAGAGACCTGAGGGGCAAACTTTTCACGCAGAGGATGGTACACGTGTGGGAATGAGCTGCCAGAGGAAGTGGTGGAGGCTGGTACAATTACAACATTTAAAAGGAATCTGGACGGTGATATGAATAGGAAGGGTTTACAGGGATACGGGCCAAATGTTGGTAAATGGGACTAACCAATTTAGGATATGTCAGTGGCTCAGTGGTTAGCACTGCTGCCTCTCAGGGCCAGGGAGCTGGGTTTGATTCCACCTTCTGGCCACTGTCTGTGTGAAGTTTGTACATTCTCCCCGTGTCTGCGTGGGTTTCCACCCACAGTCCAAAGATGTGCAGGTTAGGGTGGATTGGTGGTGCTAAATTGCCCCATAGTGTCCAGGGATGTGCAGGCTGGGTGGGTTAGCCATGGGAAATGCAGGGTTACAGGGATTGGGTAGCCTCGGACGGGGTGGGATGCTCTTCAAAGGGTAAGGACAGACTTGAAGGGCGGAATCGCCTGCTTCCACACAGTATGGATTCTATGATATATTCTATGATATCAGCACTGTGCCGTATAACTCTATAACTCTATGCAAGCCTAGATAAAACCTTTCCATGGACTGAGTGCTTAAGATTTCTTTCTTTCTTCGTTCTGTCTTTCAGATGTGGACATTCTCCAAAGGCTGGGCCTTATCGGGAAAAAATCACAAACACTGGCGTCGCCATCTTCCACGACGTCCCGCTCTGTTCCTCAGGGGGTCATTCCTTTTAAACTGGGCGTCATTCTCACACAGAGAGCTCGCATCAAAGCACCTGTAGCGGCTGTTATCCCCACCTCGTATGGCACCAACCTCACCCTGGTCCTGAGCCTGTGCTCCCATCGTGTCAACAATGCTTTTTTATTCACCGTCAGGAACAAGAAGAAGAAGCTGCAGCTTGGCGTGCAGTTCATACCGGGCAAAATCATTGTGTACGTGGGGCACAAACAGTCTGTCTATTTCGATTACGATGTCCACGATGGCCAGTGGCACGACATGGCCATCAGCATCAGGAGTCGAAAGGTTACTCTATATACTTCTTGTGGGAAGAATCGCACTCATGCAAATTTGCATTTCAAGAAAGAGGATTCCTTAGACCCGGAAGGCTCCTTTCTCCTGGGAAAGTTGGACCAACACTCGGTGCAGTTTGAAGGCGCTGTCTGTCAATTTGATATTTATCCGTCTGCTAAGGCAGCTCATAATTATTGCAAATACATCAAGAAACAGTGCAGGCAGGCTGATATCTACAGGCCGAACCTTCTACCCCTCCTCCCCATTTTACCACGTTTTCCCAATTCCTCCACCCCATCTCCTTCTCAGCTGATGCTGCGGAAGAGGAGCGGACCTGATGGCAGCTACGGTGAGAGCGTGGCTTTGATGGGCCCGGCTCCGACGTCGCCGAATCTCCACCCCTGGACCGTCAGCCGGCCAGCTTTTGGCACCGCAGCCCCTCCCACCGCGTTCCCGACCCGGCGCCGGCTGCCCCCTCACGCCACCAGCCGTGCCGCGGTGCCGACCCCGGTCAGATCTGCGGGGAGGAACGGCACAGGGTCGGACAGCCGGCAAGGGCCAATCAGCGAAGCCCCTTCTGGCGCCGCTACACAGCAAGACTCCAAAGGGAGGGAAACGCCGACTGGAAACGCCACAGCCCGTCTCACAGAGACCGTGCCAGCTGTAAAGAAAACCAAACACCAACCCGCCAAGACCCAGAGGCCCACATCGAAGGAAGGAGTGGGCAAGGAAACTGAGCCGAAACCAGCAACAACGCCATCATACCCCAGAGTTACCTACAATGTGGTGGTTGTTACACCTGCTGCCACAGATGGATACCAGACCTTTGGAATGGAAAGCTTTACTGTTGACCCAATGCTTCAAGGACTCCAAGGCATAAAAGGGGACCCAGGACCAATGGTAAGAGTCATTTATCTCTGTTGTACTCATAGAGTGTCAAGTGAGGGCCTGACGCCTTAGCAGCCAAATGGGATACGGAGTGTATCTGTTCACATTTGTTTCCGAAATGATCTTAAAACACAAACATTCAAACGAAGCAAAACATTGGAGTTACTGAAAGTATGAAGCAAACACCAAGAGTTCTGGAGAAACTCAGCAGCGTCTGTGAATAGGGTTAACGTTTCGAATCCAGTGTGACACTTCTTCACATTTCTGAGGAGGTTCTGTCCGTTCCGAAGAAGAGTCACACTGGACTCAGTATGTCCCCTCTAGTTCTGTCCCTCCGCAGATGCTACCAGGTCTGTTGAGTTTCTCCAGCGATCTCTGTGTTTGTGTAACAAGTTGCAGCAGAGTGTTGCAGGTAGGCTGTATACCAGTCAGTAAGTAGTGAGCAGTGATGACAGCCAGCAGGTGTAAAATCTAGACAATAAATAGTGAGGGTTGGCACGGTGGCTCAGTGTTTGGCAGTGCTGCCTCACAGCACCAGGGACCCGGGTTCGATTCCACCATCGGGTGACTGTCTGTGTGGAGTTTGCACTTTCTCCCCGTGTCTGCGTGGGTTTCCTCCGGGTTCTCCGGTTTCCTCCCACTGTCCAAAGATGTGCAGGTTAGGTGGATTGTCCATGCTAAACTGCCCGTAGTGTGTAGCTTAGGTGGGTTATAGGGGAATGGGTCTGGGTGGGATGCTCTGAGGGTCGGTGTGGACTTGTTGGGCCGAAGGGCCTGTTTCCACACTG